GAATATCTCATAGCAAATAAATGCACATAAATCTAAGACTAAGTCCTTATGTAACACTTAACATGGAAGGAAAGAAAGAAAGAAATTCTTTCTGTTTTTACATTTGGCCTAAAAATTTGGGCATTATAGTTTCAGAAAATGCTTTTCCAGCTGAAAATAGAAAACGAATTACTTTCACAGCCCTAATATCTTTTATTGCATGTACATTTTCACAGGCAGGCTACCACTTTCCCTAGATTATCTGGGAGATAATAGATAATAAGGTAAAGACAAATTCAAACAAAGATAGAAAAGTGCTCAGCTCAAACTCTTTAAAAAGACTAATGATACTCTCTCAATGCAAATGTTAAGATTGCTTTTTAAGGGTCTCTTTTGGAAACTGTTTCCATTAAAGAAGAAAAAAAATCCTGACCATTAGCTACTCCCAGTAGTTGCAAATTGTGGCTGTGTTCAGAAAGTTGACAGATTTCAGTGGGTGAATTTCAGTTTAGTGGCCAAGATGATCAACTAAATAAACCATTTATCAAATGCTAGAGACCTTTATCTGATTTTATTTTGTAGTGCAGCCAAACAGTTTAAACACAGAGACAGAGATGCCAGAAGTGAGGGGCTAAGTATGGCTATAGAAAATAATAAAACAGTGCCCCAAATGAACCCAATTTCATTTACTAGAATATATGGCTCTTATTTTCTGCAAACATTTCCCCAAACACTTAAGCAAGAGGCACAGATCCTCCTGTCCATCCTATTCACCCAGCAGACCAAGGCACTATTTCTTAAAGCAGTTCCTGCAGAAGGTAAACATAAAGTGAATAAATTAGATTACTGGATGATTGCACAAGGGTAAGACTAAGCTTTCAACTGAAATAAAGTAACTTCCTCTGTTTATATATCCATGCTAGAATGTAGATCCTGCAGACCGTTTTGAGATAATACAAACCTAAGGAATACAGGTCATCACCCATCCACCCCACTGACAGATCGTTACCCAGTGCCTATTACTTATCTGGTCATGGGAATAGAGAGACAGAACAGAAATCCAAGGTCCCTTTCTTCAGGAAGCGTATGTTCTGGCAGGGTTTCCGAACAAGCAACTAGATGAACTTGTAATGGAAAATGCAAATGTCTTGGGGAAACTTGTCACCTATTAATACTGAGCTTAAGATACAGAAGGGGAAGAAATGGTCACTTCACCTGCTCTCAAGCCAGTGCGAATCACAGTCTCTTCCTCACACCCTTCCTGCCCTTCAACTCTCAACAAACACTTCTTTGAGCATTTCTCATGTGCTAGGTACTGGGATTATGCCATGGGAAAACCAAATATCCCTTAAACTGCATGTATGAGCATTTAACATGGTAAGTGCAGGCAGGCAGTCATGGACTCTCTCAAGAACTGTGGCTGCTGACCTTGGAGCAGGACAGGAGCAGATCAGATGCGGGCACCTGCCTCAGTTGGCTCCAGGTGAGATATCCTGGGAGGGGAGGAAGGTGGGAAGAAGAAAGGATGACAACCAAAGTAACAACATAGTAAGGGTCATTTCTCCACTGCCCCATGTGACTATCCTTAGTTACACACCTTGTTACAAAGTGAATACATAAAAGGCAGGGAAGATGAATAGGTAGGCAGGTTCAAAGAAAAGTCCCAGTGCCTGCCACCTCCCCACCCATCTTGTGTCATCTGTCTCTCCCTTGGTTAAACACTTCCTGCTGGGGTCCTCCTTGGTAGATGCACTTATGAAAGGAAATGCACTAAATGGAAAATAAAGATGAAAAATTGTTATTGTGTCAACTGAGCTCTTGCCAACCAATGGGCTTCCAGAGCATCCACTCCCAACAAACCAGGACACACATATTTGCTTTGTCCCTTGTTCAGGTGGGAGCCAGAGGTGCTAGTGAGCAGAGGGGTGTGTGTGTGTGTGTGTGTGTGTGTGTGTGTGTGTGTGTGTGTGTGTAGTTTCTGCGGCATCTGCTCTTGAAGCAGTTTGTGACATAGCTGCCGGCACTCACTATATTCATTGCTCCAGCATGCAATTTGAGATACTGTGAGTGAAGACGGGAGGCAAGGTCACAAATCTTAAAATCAACTTGAATCATCTCAAAGTCCATAAGGTCCCAAATAGGAAACCTTCTCAAATGAAAGCTACATAACTCTGTAATAAATGTTCTGCCCAGCTGGCCCAGAAGTAGACTTTAAAACCACACCTAAGACAGGATGCCTTCTCAGAAGGTCTTCAGAAATAATAGTAATAATAAAATCCCACAAACCTGCTGAAGAAACTATCGTATCTATGTGAAACCTAAAAAAGTACTGGGTCTCAGTGAGAGGAAAACGTTGCAAACTCTGGGAAACTTCTCTGGACATGTGAAGCGCAAATTCTTTCCCCCAAAGACAAGGAGCTTGGAGTCACGTTCCACCACCTCAACAAACATGCTGAAGTGACACTTGTCATAGTACTAGGAAAGAGCCAAGCCTTACCTAAATTTAGGGATGCTTTTTTCCTTTGGATTGCACCAATGTTGCCTGGATCAGCACTGAACTCTGGAAACCCTCATACAAGAGTGACACTCTTTATTCGTTTTCATTGATTTTCTAATTTCAGTTAAATTGTGTCAATCTTTTTGGGGGGCTGTTTATGTTCAGTGACTAGAAATGCTTAATTCAACTCCCATAATTACATACTTATTACGACTTAATGAAAGCCCACATGAAAAGATCATGAGCTGGAAACATATTTGCCCCTAAAATAAACTTTAAAAAATGGGATAATATACTGTATTATCACTTTGGTTTCTAAATAGAGACATAAAATATTTTCTCTCCGAACAAAGAGAGCTGAAATGGAGAAATCACGATGCTTCATCCACTTCCTTTGAAAGGATCTTGCAAGAAGCTTCGGGAGCATTAGGATTATAGAAAAGCTGGCGTGTGTGTGTGCGTGTGTGTGTGTGCGTGTGTGTGTGCATGCTGAGTGGGGAATAGAGGGCCTTGTGAATTCATCACTGGCCTCCAAAAGAAAAAAAATATGTCAGTCATAAAAATAGAGGGGGTTGGAAAGAGAATGGGAGATAAAATTAAGGAAATGGATTCAATACTTTTTCTACGTTCCTATTCTTTAACTAGAAACAATTACATTTTCCAAAGGACAATCAGAGTTTCAGTGTAAATTTCTTTCTCTCTCTCTCCCCTCCAATAATTTCCTATTTCTAGCTTCTGTTTCTCACCCCTTATGTAAGATCTTAGTTTTATTTCCAACTCTGTCTTGCCTTCCCCCCCGCTTCCAACAAACAGATAATTAGGATTTTTAGGAGTGCTTCAACCATGCAAGGCAGTAGAAATACAAACATGCATATGATCACAATCTCTGTTCTCAAGAAATTTACAGCCTTACACCACTGTTGCCCAGTAGAACCTTGGGGCGATGGAAGTGTTCTGGGTCTTCACTGTCCCGTACAATAGCCACCAACCACATGTGACCACTGAGCCCTTGAAACACGGTTCATGTGACTGAGAACCTACTTTTTACATCTTGATTTCAATTGATATACTTTAAAACTGCAATAACCGCATGTGACTAGTGGTTTCTGTACTAAACAATTCAGGTCTAGATCACGAGAAAGAGAATCTTCTTTGGAGACAAAAGACAACCTAATTAGCACATGCCAACTGCTATATGATGGTTACAGGCAAGGGTGGTCAGAGATGGGATGAAGAACAAGAGCGTGGAAGAATCAGGTGGATGAGGACAGCTTCTTAGAGGGGGTTGATGTAATCCAGAATCTCTTGAGAAATGACAGCGTATTTAAGAGAGGAGAAAGCAGAGGAAATGACATTCTGAACCATGGATTTATTTTATCAAAAACACTGAGGGGAAAATCCACAGAGCCCCTGAGGGAAACCCAATAGTTACCATGGAACAAACGGTGTTGCAGAAGGTCAAGGGCAACTCCAAGGTGCCATGCCTGTGGGATGATGTCAGCAGCAGGGAATTCCAGAATGGGAGCAGATTTAGGGTGGATGGAGAATGAAGGATGGATGAGAATCCACGAGCTGGTTTAAGAATGCTGTGTTTGGAGAGCTACGAGAGTCTTCTATTTAAGGTAGCTTATGTTAAGCTACAGGGTGGACCTCAAACTCAGGAAAGAATAGGGCCAGAGGGACTCATGCAGGTGGAAACATAAACGAGGTGGACGCACAGGTCCCATCTGGAGGGGACAGCTGGCCCTGGATCCACTGGAGCATCACATCTCATGCCACTGATGGTGCACGTGTGAGAAGTGGGCCCAAAGTCTCCAGGATTTCTGATTTCCAGAAAAACTGGAAATAGGCATTTTTTAAAAAGAAATATGAAATCTAAATATTTTGACATGGCAAATAACTCTAAAAGCTTTAAAACACTGAGGGCACAACCAAAGAGCAGGCATGCAGACTGACTGGTCTAGGGGGTCACCTGTTTGTGACCAGTGGCCCAGGAGATGGAGGAGATTCCGTGGAGAGAGTCTGAAGGGAAGAGAACAGAGACAGAGGAAGAGAGAGGTTCTAGGGGAACACAGGATGCCTGCAGCCAAGGGTTGGAGAAGGGAGTCACAGCCATTTGACTCTGCAACAAGGACAGCCTCTGTGATCCTGGACGAAGCAGCGAAGCCACCTCCCCTCCCATCTCCTCCTTCCCTTGTCCTGCCCTCTCCCTTCAAGCACTAAAGCAGGGGCTAGAGGCAAAGTTTAGAATCACCAGGGCCTAGAGAATAAGTAGTTGATGAGAAAAGAGAGGAATCAGGTTGAGTGAATATAAACAGTTCCAAGTCCTTTAGCTTTTTAGAGCACGTTTTCCCCGGGGCACATAGTATCCCATTTCCCTTCATTTTTCCCCACCGGAACATGTATGAACACCTCATTTCTGCCTTTACAGTATAAACAGCCATTGACTGGAGCCCCACGTCTTCCCTTGAACGAAAGCCATGTTCTGTTCTCGTGAAAAGGAAATGTATTCTTTTCAGCTCACCTCTCGGTCCAGCAGCGCAGGTGACACAACGGTGACAATGTCTCCTTTCTCAGGATCGATGTAGAACATGTTAGGAGATGGCTTGTCAGGCGTCTGCTGACGGATATTGTACCGAAGGAGGGCATTATCCGTGGCAGGGTCATCTGCATCAAAGGCTGTCATCCGCATCACCGTGGTCCCTGCCGGGGCAGGACAGAAAGGCAGGGAATGGTTACCAATGCAGGCAGCAATGGCCAGAGCCCCTTCCCTACCCGGGCAGTAGCAAAGGAATAGTGTGCCAATCACTTTCCAAATTAAAAAAGAAAAGTATTTCCCAAGCTCTGCTGTGTTTCAGCTTTTTCCTCCTTTCCCTCCCTGCACCATCTCATGAAAAGACCCAAAATAAAGAAAAAAAACTCTTTGCTGTTCAGCAGATTGACTGCTTTATTTTTCCCTCTGTTGATATACTGTTTGTTTTCGATGGCTTTCATTCCACTGTGGATGTGACTTTGTGAGAGTGGCTTTCATTTTTTTTTCTTTTTCTGAGACAGACTCTGGCTTTGTCACCCGAGCCAGAGTACAGTGGCGTGATCTCGGCTTACTGCAACCTCCGCCTCCCAGGTTCAAGCAATTCTCCTGCCTCAGCCTCCCAAGTAGCTGGGACTACAGGCGCACACAACCACATCCAGCTAATTTTTCTATTTTTAGCAGAAACAGGGTTTCACCATGTTGACCAGGATGGTCTCAATCCTTTGACCTTGTGATCTGCCCACCTCTGCCTCCCAAAATTTATATGTTTTACAGGTACAATTTATATTTATAAGTGCATAAAACAAGGTCTATACAGAGATCTTTACTCTGGTGATGGTAGTTAAATCTAGAGAAGAGAAGGGATTGGGATTTGGCATGGTCATTGGGAAAGATGTTGGCCTCATCTATACTGTTTTGTTTATTTTTACAAGGCGAACGTATTGCTTTGGCAACTAAAAATTAATTTACAAAAAGCATAGTTGTAAGTACCAATAAAAACATGCCTGCTGGTTTTGATGATTGACAATAGCAATTGTATTGCTATTATATCTGACTTAGGGCAACCTGCCTAACTGTAACTTTTTCATCCCAATTTATTCTTCTACAAATTTAAAGCCCCATCTTCTGATTTTGAACCTGTCTGGACTCACAGAGTGTGACCTAACTTTAAGAGATCAAAGCAGCATATATAGTTTTCAGCAGGAATATTCATACAGAGAAAATACTGATGTCTAAAGGAAAGATAGACGTCATCTAGTTTTAGCACCACCCATAATCCTTTCCCTTCCATGACAATATTTCTCTAATCATCAAAGCCAGTTATTCCCCCCTCACAACTGGAATCAGGTTATCAGCCATTAAGCCTGATTGATCAGATAAACAAGGAAGAGCTGGCCACCCTCAAGGTTGGATCGATTTGTTAAGCAGTCTCAGTTAATTTCATCAATGGTGACATCCAGCCAGATGCCTCAAGGTGCACTTCCTATTCACCTCGTTTCTTTGCCCCATATGAAATTGTCTTAGGGCAAGCTTCGAGGTTCAGCACCAGAAAAGAACATTCTTGCCCCACGCAGCCCCCTTGCCTCTGGAAGACAGCAGGAACAACGCGGCTCTGTCTCCCACTGACTGTGTTACAGAATCTGTGTTATCAAACAGTGGTCTAGGCAGCCACTCACAGTCTATGGAAATTGATGTGAAATGTGACACATATTAACCTTCCTGATCTAGGCAAACTTGAGGATATCCCCATCAGAAATCAGAGGCAGATTTTCAGGCCGGCAATCTCACCCAGGGACACGCTGTAGGGAGATCCTTGTGGCCAAAGACATAGCAGGAGGCCTTAACCCCATCAATTCCACACCAGTCTCAAGTTAAGTACACTTGACCCAGTGCCTTACATTTAGTTAATGTCTAATGAATGCTTCATTGATTGGATTTGTGTCCTATTTAATACGCCTTTAATGGAAGTCAGAAAGGGTATAAAAATGAAGTCATCATAGCTTGCAACTGACATATGCATTAAAATGATTAGAGGAAGAAAATAAAAGACCTCTTAGGTTGATGCATCTTCAGTTTTCACCAGGAAATTCACTGAGGATATCTTTTTGTTTACAGATTTGATAACACGATATAACACAAAGTTATCCAGAAATACTCCTAAGCATACACAGAAAATGCTTTTTATTTTAATGGATTGTTATGGAACAAATGAACTCAGTCTTAAGCCTCATCTTTGTCTTAAGACATGAACACATCACTGGATTTACTTCGGTGGAAATCCCACCTCTGTGGGAACCGCTTTGTGCCTAACTCATGTGAATAGGTTTGCAGCATTAAGAAAACGACTCTGAGGTGACGTGTCTGTGTTGAAGTCTTGACAAGCTGCGTGACCATGGCCAGGTTATTTACCTCTCTCTGAGCCTCAGTTTCCCCATTGTCAACATTCCTCCTTGGTTGCTGTGAGCATTTCATGGGATGACCGATTTCAAGAACTTGGTACAGTGCCTGGTACATTAGGGTTCAGAGAAGGATGCCTTTTATTATCAAATTCTGTCCTGGGTTCTGAGCCAATGATGGCAGTGCAGGCATAGGCTTCAAATACAAGAGCCTAGAATTAAGTTGTCCAAAGAATGTGGGACAAGGGTTGGCTGGAGAACCCTCTCACCCTGTCCCTTTTCCCTTCTACCCTGCCCATGGTCTTAGCATGCAGATCTGTGGTTCCACTGTGGATATAACAACCCCCTCCAACACACACACATGTGCACACACACATTCTGTAGTTTATACTACGTCTCCATGTGGTCCTCTAGTCTTCCTCTAAGACCAGGCTTTACTGAGTCCCAACCTAACTGCTGAGTTCAATGCTTGGCTCTCACCAGCACCCCCTGCCCCGCCTGGAGGCTGGATCATGTTTCTCTCACTTCTGTGTTTTGCAAAGCCTGGATAAACCTCCTAAATCAGCATTTGCTCAATTGATTCCAAGGAACTCTGGTTCCAAAGGTTCAGTAGAGAAACATATTTGGGAAATATGGGAGAAACATTGCAAAGCAGGGTTCCCCTGGAGGAATTATCAGTCACTTTATTAAGCAGGCTCACAGTGTCAATCTCCAAGAGAGGGTGGAATCTGTGGCACTCCCCAAACTTCACTGTTGATAGAACCTCTTCATTTCAAAACCATCTATCTTTTTGTGATGGACCACAAGGTCCTAGTTGTGAGCTCTTGGAGGATACAGATGGTTTTGTTCATTTTGTAAGCCCTGTATCTGACACACAGTAGGTCTTCTATCAGTGTTCTTTGGGTTGAATTGCCTTCTTGCCATTCACTGTAGTCTTGCTTCATTCCACACTGACCAGAGCCACCAGCACTTTGTCTGCAAAGAAGAATGAAAAACTGAACAACTTGCCTGGAGATTTTTCACAACTGCCTCTGAGCTCCCCGTTCAATGTGCCTTGGAGGTCCTTACTGGAACGGGATTCCAGGGTCACACACCAATGCCATGCCAGGGCTGACATGCAGCAGGTGGGCATTGGTACAGCTGCTCCAACTGCCTGTAGGTGATGCCTGTGCCTCTCCTCTTCCGCAGCCCCACACACTGGAGACTCCATGTCCGCCACTTTGTTTTCAGCAGCCCAGACAGCTTCCCATCCGGGCTTGTCGAGAAAGGATAATTATATGATAGACACACACTGGGACTTCTACAGAGTACATTTCTGTCTTTTCCCCCGTCACAATATTCTCCTGAGTGTCAAAATAAATTATAATCACCTTGTCACTCCCTGAACCAGATGAACTAGCAGCAGCCCCTCCAAAGGGGGAAAAAAAACCCAGTTGCTGGCTGAAAACCTCACGTCTGGCCGTCACTTTCTTTTGTTGAAGGACATGGCCTCCAGCCTGACAGGCTGATTAACAAGCGTCATTGCTTCCTCGTGGCCAGGTAGCTCCTTCCTCTTGACTGCAGCTCTCTGATTAAAGCAAGTGCCGCCTGGTGTCTTGACCTTGAAAGCCAGCTTTGAAGTTTTGCTTTCCTGTGACTTCAAGCAGAGTCAAGCCCTTGAGAAAGGAACGTGTAGATCTGACAGTGACGGGGGGTCTTCGGCTGGCTACAAGGATGGCGATGCTCCAAAACACAGTGACAAAATTATTCTGTTCTTCACATTTCTTTGACTCCATCCCTAAACATTTCCTGATCAAAAAGTGTTAGGCTCACTTTTTTTTTTTTTTTTTTTTTTTTACAAAATGCTATTCCTATAAGTGAATCTTATTTTGAGACACAGACATTCAGATCTATATTCAGCACTGGATTTCTGATAGCACCGTTAGGGCAACTATGTGCTTTCCAGGGAGAAATATGATGTTAAAGCAAACATGAGCAGAGATGGCAGATGTCACCAGGTGAACCTCTCTGATGTGACAAAATGGTACATTATTGTCAAGCATCAAATTCAGGAGAGGAGGCAGTGAGTTCTAATTCCACCCAAATGATGGTTTCTGAGATGAAATGATCTAACAGTTGTGCTTCCAAAGGACAATGTGGTCAAGGATACAGCACTGTACCACGTTACATGTGCATTTGCCCCTGAATCAGAAGACAAGGCTTAGACCATCTGCACCTTAGGTTGCTTAGTCAGGTGAGACAGATGTAGAAGCTGCTATTTTAAATCCTAGTATCTTAGGGTGTATCTAGTTGGAATGATTCTCATCTGAAACTACATTTCCACTGAACATCCTTCAGTTTGAAGGGTTTTGGGGCCTCCTGGTTCCAAATGAGAACCAGACAGTTCTCCCAGGACTGAGGGGATTCCAGGACAGTCCTGGGCACACCAGAACAAGTTGGTCACCTTGCAGGCCAAGTTTTGCTTTCAGATGTAGACACGTCTCATGGTCACGAGCAGCAGACTGCAGATGTAAGAACTGCTGCAACTGTGACTTTAGTACCTGGGACACAGCCCACAACCATTCACCCAACCAAGCACCCCAGTCACATCAACCTGAAATTAGTTCCTGAACAAGCAGGTGGACATGAGCCAGTTCTCCCCTAGCCATCCTCAACAGCAAAGAGAGAGACCTAGGTGTGCAAAACCAAAGCAGAACCAAGCCAGTGGCCCAGCTAAGGACCCGGACTGTCTAGTTTTAAATCCTGGCCTCACCAGCTGGGCTTCTCTGGGAAAT